CTTTTAAGCTAGTGAAAAAAAAACATCCAAACTACACATATAAGTGTTTATTTTATTGCACTTTATCTATCTATTTTTGTCTGTGGATTTCAATTACAGTACATATCTTTAAAGGTAATTTCTTTCTAAATGAGTTTTTATCTCCACTTCAGCAAACACCAAAAGGTTTTTACTGAGGGGTTTGTTCATATATCATTTTATACAATATTTTATTCCAAATGGTAAAATTGTGTTAGTTTTCTGTCTGTTAAAGTATGTTGATATCAATTAGTTATTATTTCTATTCATCTGTAGTGTCTTGCCTGTAAAACGAGTCGTGATTCGTCTGGTTTCTTTCTGCCATGCAGGTCAGAGAGTAAATGGACACAAATGGCTGCAGAGTCTATTTATCATCATTATCCGCCATCTGTTGTTCTGGCTACAGACGTCAGAGCCTCCAGGCCTTTCGAGGACAGCACATGTCCTGTTCTGGCTTCAAATATTCATGATGTGAATCATATGAAAACATACCATATATATATATTTATATATTTGTTTAACGGAAACATTAAAGGGACAGCTCACCCAAAAATGAAAATAGTTTGAAGAATGTTGGTAAGCAAACAGTTGACGGTAGCCATCGACTTCCATAGTATGACAAAAATACAATGGACCTTCTTGACATTTCCGGGTCTCTCAGCAGCAAGAAGCCGTCATAGTTGGGTTAACTTTGAGAGCAGTGAATATATTTGTTGCATTCCCATTTGCTCAAATAGACTGACAACGGCAGTCAGAAGAGAGAACGATGTCAAATTTTCCGTCCCTGCATTAAAAACACCCTTGTATGGAAGCCCGTTTCCGCCACTGAATAAAAAACAAAAAAGGTAATTGTGTCTTTTTATCTCACAATTCAGACTTTTTTCTCAATCAGAATCAATTGCGAGTTAAAAAGTCATCATTGTGAGATATAAACTCGCAGTTCTGAGAAATAAAGTCAGAATTGTGTGATATAAACTCGCAATGGCGAGACATTAAGTCGTAGAAATAACGTCAAAACTTATTTGTTTAACGGAAACATTAAAGGGACAGCTCACCCAAAAATGAAAATAGTTTGAAGAATGTTGGTAAGCAAACAGTTGACGGTAGCCATCGACTTCCATAGTGTGACAAAAATACAATGGACCTTCTTGACATTTCCGGGTCTCTCAGCAGCAAGAAGCCGCTGGGCTTGAGGTTGTGTTTGGGCACTGTACCTACACTACAAATGCCCTCAAATAGAACATCATTATGGAGTAACACAAAACACACAAACATGTGCTTTGAGGTTCATAAATAGTACAATTAATATGCAACATGTCTAGGCTATAGTCAAAGTTGAAATGTAATATTAAATATTCATTATAATATAATAAACAGGATGTGTTCTCTCAGTTGAGAGATCAAAACCCTGAAATAGACAACGGCAGTCAGAAGAGAGAACGATGTCAAATTTTCCGTCCCTGCATTAAAAACACCCTTGTATGGAAGCCCGTTTCCGCCACTGAATAAAAAACAAAAAAGGTAATTGTGTCTTTTTATCTCACAATTCAGACTTTTTTCTCAATCAGAATCAATTGCGAGTTAAAAAGTCATCATTGTGAGATATAAACTCGCAGTTCTGAGAAATAAAGTCAGAATTGCATGATATAAACTCGCAATTAACATTTATTAGACAAAGTTAGAATTGCAAGAAAAAAGTTAGAATTGCGAGTTTTTATCTTACAATTCTGTGGAAAAAGTTAGAATTGTGAGATGAAAAAGTCGCAATAACCTTTTTTAAAAAAATTATTCAGTGGCGGAAACAGCTTCCATACACTTGCATTAGCGTTAACTATTTATTTTATTTTTTTGTAATTTCATGCAAAGGTGATATAATACAAAGTATACTAAAAAAATCTAAATATAAAGAAAAAAAAACTTTTTGCTGATGACCATTGAAGCCTGTCATCACAGTCTTGTGAAAAGGGTCCATGGAAGTCAATGGTTACCTACCGTCAACCAGGGCAGGACTTAGGGGGCCGGGGGCCCCTGGGCTTGAGGTTGTGTTTGGGCACTGTACCTACACTACAAATGCCCTCAAATAGAACATCATTATGGAGTAACACAAAACACACAAACATATGCTTTGAGGTTCATAAATAGTACAATTAATATGCAACATGTCTAGGCTATAGTCAAAGTTGAAATGTAATATTAAATATTCATTATAATATAATAAACAGGATGTGTTCTCTCAGTTGAGAGATCAAAACCCTGAAATAGCTTGGAGCAAAAAAATAAAATAAAAAGAATGGTCATATCTTTAATCAATACATTCAATCGAATAAAAAGACATGCTGGCTATTAACAATCAAATTAAATCACTATCAACAGAATTCATAGATGGATTGTGCATAAATGTTAGGATTAAATATAACATTTTAATGTAGAAATATTCAATGATTGCAAAAAATGAAATAAGCTACTTTTTTAAATATGAAACAACAACCGCCAGTTAAGCAGCTCTTAACGAGTGAGTTGAATCAACAGATTCATTTAAAAAGCTGATTCATTTAACTCTGCAAACGCCTGATTGAATCATTTGCAGGTCCGTGTAACGCTGAGGAACAAAACGCTGTTGTTCGGAGACGCAGCGGTTCTGCTCTTTGTTCTGTTTTCTTTCTGACGGAGCAAAGCGGGATTTTGTGTCTGAAAGCTACTCTGTAAGCTATTGCTTATTATACAGTTGCAATCGTGCAGATATTCGGAGAAAAAAGAAAACAGGACTCTTGTTTGTGTGATAGGCTAAGTCCTATATCATAGTCATAGCTATGTTATAAAAACAGAAACTCATTGCTATTTTTTAAAATTTAAAATCATTTTTCTGACATTTCTTCCCCACTATGTGTGTAAGACGAGAGAGAGCGCTCAAAACTCATCAGATGATGGCATAATTTATTGGAACATTAATATAGTAATACAGAATCATCCTCTGTAAAGAAATGAGGTGTGAAGATTTGAGAATTTATCCTTATCTTTCTAAATGTGCGCTCTTTGGGGCTAAAGGCTTAATGGAGCTGTTTAAAGTAGCCATGTGATAACAAACCAATAGGTGCAGACGCGATTAAATAGGCCTACGTGTGTCCTTCTTCTGTGTGGAAGAATCATAAATAGCAGTTTATGCTGTTTGATTGTGGCCTCGAAGGTCGTAGTTGTACGCTGTAGCCCCCGCTGGTCCCTTTAGATCTTGTGTGCGCACTGCGCAGTGGAAATGTGGCTAATAATTTCTGAATTCTGACTGGCATATAACAAACAAATCAAACAAACGTTAACGGGCAAAGGCGGGGCCCATGGGCTGCAGCCCACTCAAGCCCAATGGTAAGTCCGGCCATGCCGTCAACTGTTACTGACATTTTTCAAAATATCTTCTTTTGTGTTCAACAGAAGAAATAAACTCATACAGGTTTGGAACCACACTTGAAAGTGAGTAAATCAGGCTATTACACTTTCCATTTTGGGTGAACTGTTCCTTTAAGGGTCCATCCATGACCGTGCGTTTCAGATCGAATTCGCAAAAAAACGTAAAATAGCTACGAATTCGCAAGAATGCGCCGAGTCGTCTGAACGCCTAGCTCAGAACTACACTTGACAAGCACAACAAAACTGCACTTCTGCATGTGAAGCTACAGTACTTTGAGCTGACGATGGTTTTGAAGGGAACTACCGTCAGTTATTTCTGCATCCGCCCACTCATTCCACGGATCACCGGGAGAGATGCGGCACGAGCTAGATTCCGGCGGGACAGATGGAGATCGTTCTGAACGCCAGGATCCCGCTGACTGAACGGCATGAACTGTCACTCCTGATTAGCGTGATGGATCCTCCGCCATCTGATATTAAAGCGCTGGGAGTATCCAACAACACATGCAGTCAAATCTTGGAAAACAATATAAACATTTAATTAAAGGTAAGCAACGTACTTTGTAGCTAGTTACAGTAGCTGATCGTCGCATACCACAGTGCTCACAGATATTCATGTGTTCGGAATCGTATGTTGATTTCACTCCAAAATCAAATCGTTTAGGCCTATTTGTTTGTTTGTTTTTGCATTGTGACAATTAAGCACATTCGTTAATACAATGCAAATGTAACACAGTCGTGAAAATCAGCATAAGCAATAATTCAGTTCAAAAACCACTACCATGATGTGTGTATCTAAAATGTAAACATTTTTCACATTAAATTTATGAAACCTATTTATTATTTTATTTTATTATTACATCTACTGGCAATTGAATGATGAAGATTTAAATATATATAATTGTCCTGAAATGTCACAAAGCAAAAAAAAACAGTGGTTCTAAAAATAGATTTTCTGTATGCAAAACATATGCTTATTTCTTTCCTTTGATTTTGAGGTCAATCTCGAGCTGTTCTTCACTGGATTCACCTCCATTCACTCAGAATATTTACACTTGCTTTTAAGGCTTCCGTATTTGAATTGCATATAACATTTCTATTCATTTGGATTGTGCAGTTTTGACTTTGGGTAATAAACTTAATATGATTCATAATTGTCAGTCTTACATAAATGAAACCGAAACAGGTACGATTTCTGCACCAGTGTTATTTTATGATCATAGAGATACTATTATAGTTTTAATTCATATTTTGTATTAGTTTTAATTTTTTGTACTTTCCTTTCTCATTTTAATTGTAATTACATTTATTAATTTTGTTGTGTTTTTTAGTCATATTTATTTTTTTTTCTATACAGTTTCTATGCTCAGTCATTTTAATTTCAGTTCTAGTGTTAAGTAAGTCAGGCTAAACTAAATTAAATCGAGAATTAGAAAATAAAATGCATTTAAAAAAAATAAAGTGCATATAAAAATATACAATTTATACAAAACATATATATATATATAGTATTATATACATATATAAATATATATAACACTAATTAAAATGTTTATTTCAAGTAACAAAAACATTGCGTGGTTTATTATTAATCTGACTTTATGCACGACTAACAAATATGCATCTCATTACATTTATTGGTTAGTTAATGTTATACTGTGTAATCCAAATGCATGGATATTTTATATGCGGTTCAAATACATGAATCCTACATTTAGGCCTGAATATTTTTCAGCCGCATTGAAATTCTATTTCCCTTTGACTCAGTTATAGTCTAGCCACTAAAACACTCTCAACTCCTGAGAGCTGAACGAGAGCTGATTCCTGTGTGAAGATGTCACTGAGGTTTTTTCTGTGAGTTCTCCGAGTTCTGTGACCTGCCGACGCTGGAAGGAGCCGTCCGGTGCCTCTGCCGCGGTTTCTGAACTATATTCATGCTGTTGTTGTTGCCGATCTGAACTCCACAGACGTTGGACATGGTGATCTGAGCTCCGCCTGAGAGGAAAGCAGAGAGACAGACGAGTGTCATGCTTTCCGTTCCAGATTTGATCAAATCTGTCACGACTGAGGAGCTAAAGGACCAGCTCCATCTACTGGCAGACGTGGGATATCTGGATGATTGTGCAATATCTAACCACCATAAAGGCTTTTTGTAAAGAAAGGCAACTGTTTTATGAAGGACAATACGGGGAAATTTTATTTTTAAGGACAAAAGATACACCAAGCTGTTATTTATGAAAGCCAGTTTCTGCCATGGAGTAAAACATTTTAAAAAGCAATTGTTACTTTGTTCTTAGAATTCCGAGTTTACTCCAAAATTGTCCTTTTTATTAACAATTCTGATTTTTCTTCTTGCGATAGGAGTTTATATCTCGCAATTCAGACGTTTTACCTCCGAAATAAAGTCCAAATTGTAAGATAAAAAAATTACCTTTTTAGTATTACTTAAAAACAGAGTAAAACTGACCTGGTGTTGAAATCTGCCGCTGTAAGAACACACACACAGCAGGATGTTAGGAGAGGAGCGCTCAGTAATATAAAACAACGGATATGTTTGTTTGTTTGTTTCAGACCTGTGTTGTTCTGATCTGCATCACCGGCGGAGCAGGACGAGGAAATGCTTCTGTGAATTCATCTCTGGAGCTCAGATTACCTTTCTTTATGGATTTTGTGTAACTGGCAGCTGTTTCCTGCAAGATAACGTACAAGCTAATAAACATCCTCAGACGATGTACTGTACTTTAGTTCATTTATATACAGTAGCACCTTTAAGAACCAGATCTATGGTTTAAATACACGGATACCCATCTTAATGTCCTACTGAAAATGGTTTCAAGCCTCTCAGAACCAAAAATGTAGCTCTGAATCACTTTCTAATGCTTTGAAAGGTCATTGTACAAATTATGAGCTGATTATTGACCTTAATGAGCCGAGTACAGTTAGTTAGAAATTAAAAAAATACAATTGTATACAATTTAAATAATGGTCTGTTGATTCAAATGCTTTTATTAAGTTCAATGTGCTAAGATTTTAATTTAGCTTCAGTTCATTTCAGTATAAATGACCTGTTTGGGAAGTGGTCCAGTGACGCAGGACGAAGCCTGAGGCTGTGCTTCTGAAACATAAAGAGGATCAAGACGTCAAAAATCCTGGAAATATTTATCCTGTGAGCCAAAATGAAAACTTTATTTATAACCCGTTGGACTTCCATAAATAATACAGTAGGGCAGGACTTGATTTTTTTCCCACGAGTGGATGTTGGGTGTAAAATTAGAGGGATTTCTGTGTATTTCAACATGCTTCCTTGATGTGGAAACAGAACAAAACAGTGTTATTTCACAGTGTCAGGTGTAAGTTACTTCAAAATTAATGCATTACGATACTGCGTTACTCCGTAAAAAGTAACTTATTGCATTACTTAGTTACTTTTATGTAACGTAATACATTACATTTAGTGCTGCCAAACGATTAATCGTGATTAATTGCATACAAAATAAAAATATCTATATTTATATTCATATAATTTATAAGTAAATATATTTAATATATAAGCATAACATATTTTTCTGAAATATATACTGGATGTGTGTGTATTTATATATACATAATAAATATACACAGCACACACACATATATTATGCAAACAAAAACTTTTATTTTGTATGCAATTAATCGCAATTAGCAGCACTAATTACATTACTTTTGCATTATGTTTTTGTCACCTGAGTTGGGCTTGCTGATTTATTTTTAGTAACAAAAAAAACACGGGGACAGCAGAGATAGTGACTAATTAGGAAAGCTTATTTGAAAAAAGTATTTTCTTGTAAATTTAAGAGTTACTTTACTAGTTACTTGAAAAAAGTAATCTGATTAAGTAACTCGCATCGCTTGTAATGCGTCACTCATAACACTGCATATTAACACCACTGAGATACTATTAAAGTTTTTGTTAATATCTTAAATGTTTTAACTTTAATGTCAGTAAAAGTTTTAGTAATTTTGTGTTTTTGCCGTTAACTTTCGAGTTTATTTAGTTTTAGTACTTAATGTTAAACTGAACCTAAATGAGAGTTGCTCTGGCAAACAACGGAATGAAAATAATGTATTATTTATAAAATAAAAAAACATACCGTTGTGTGGTTGACGGCTGATCTGGATTGATTTCAAACCGGAACAAATGTCATCATCCTGCTCATAAGAAAAGATTGTGTTAACGGAGGATAAAAATAAGGGTTAAAGAGTTTTGCATTTAAGTTATTCCATTTTCAACTTGTTTTACTTTTTTACGGTGTGATGGAAATGGTGAATAAACATTGGTTAAAAACTCAAAATGAACGTAAACTGTACCAGCTGCTTCAGAACATCATAGACAGCATCATTGAGTCCATGTTTGTGCATATTAGAGATCTTCTCAGTCGCATGAACACAGTCTGAAAGCACGAGACGGCGAGGTGAGAACGTGTGGAGGTGGACAGTGTTGCCAACTTAGCACTACATTTAGCAACGTTTTCTTCCAAAAGCACCTAGCAACAGATGTAGCTATTTTTAGAATTTGTTGGGCAACTATTAGCAACTTTCGGTAAGTGACTAAAACGAAACAATAATAATTGAATAAATTAATAGTTGAATAATTGTTGATTTATGATACATCTTGTTTGTACTTGAGACTGTTGACTAGGGCTGCAAAGAGGTGGAAAATTTCCAGTAAATTTGGGAAACATTCCAGACATTTTGGAAACTTTCCAGGATTTTTTTGGAATATTCCAGGGATTTTTGGAATATTCCAGGGATTTTTGGAACGTTTCCGGAAATGTTCCACCCCTTTGTTGATCAGTCAGTACATTGTAAGAAAAAATATCTAGAAAAATGGAAAAGGTACTAGTAATTTTCCAGGACATATCCGTTATCTGTTATCCAATCGTGTTAACGGAGGATAAAAATAAGAGTTAAAGAGTTTTGCATTTAAGTTATTCCATTTTCAACTTGTTTTACTTTCACGGTGTGATGGAAATGGTGAATAAACATTGGTTAAAAACTCAAAATGAACGTAAACTGTACCAGCTGCTTCAGAACATCATAGACGGCATCATTGAGTCCATGTTTGTGCATATTAGAGATCTTCTCAGTCGCATGAACACAGTCTGAAAGCACGAGACGGCGAGGTGAGAACGTGTGGAGGTGGACAGTGTTGCCAACTTAGCACTACATTTAGCAACGTTTTCTTCCAAAAGCACCTAGCAACAGATGTAGCTATTTTTAGAATTTGTTGGGCAACTATTAGCAACTTTCGGTAAGTGACTAAAACGAAACAATAATAATTGAATAAATTAATAGTTGAATAATTGTTGATTTATGATACATCTTGTTTGTACTTGAGACTGTTGACTAGGGCTGCAAAGAGGTGGAAAATTTCCAGTAAATTTGGGAAACATTCCAGACATTTTGGAAACTTTCCAGGATTTTTTTGGAATATTCCAGGGATTTTTGGAACGTTTCCGGAAATGTTCCACCCCTTTGTTGATCAGTCAGTACATTGTAAGAAAAAATATCTAGAAAAATGGAAAAGGTACTAGTAATTTTCCAGGACATATCCGTTATCTGTTATCCAATCGTTTAAAATGCAGTTAAAAAAAAACTGTGAAAAATCAATACGGAATATTTCTTCATTTTAACAGCAGAATTTTCTTAGAGTGTAGCACACTCATACACTGCTTAAAACTGTATTTGTTCAGAATGTGTCGTTTTACTAGTTCACAAGCTAAAACCCTTAAATTGTTTAAAAATATGTTCATTGTTCAGTGTTGTATTTTATATTTTAATATAGTATTATATGAACAAATCTAAAATTAACATGTGGGTCAAAGACGTTAAGATGTCTGCATCAAAAGTGATTTTACGTCCATAGAAAGCACATTAAATGCAAGTAAAGTTCAAATACGTTTTTGAAGAATAAAATGTCAAAATTTGTTTGAAATAATGTTACATGTCATTCAGTGTAACACTTATGGTTATGTAAAAATTCAAAAACATGCTTATTCTGACCTGTACATATCAAAATAAATTTTATTGTGTTTTAAATGAGTAAACAAAATAGTATTGTCAAATGGGCAAAACCTAGGATAGTGGCAAATTAAAAAAATGTAAAATTACAACCAATTAGTATTTGGGGTGAAAGTAATTAGTTTTTTAACTAATTTTGTCATAAATTGATTTTTGTTGTAAATATGCCTGGCAGGATTGTTACACTGAATGATATTTTAGTGGGTGTCTTCTGTAAATCAGGGGAAAATGTATGAAATAAATTTTTTGCTCAGAAAAACAAAAACAAAAATACAATTACATGAAACAGAAAACTTTTTCATTTTTTATTGTTGTTGAAAAACAATTTAAAGCAGTATTGTTTTTATGCTTAAACCCTTTTTCGTCTTTGACCCATTATCTACAAAATATATTTTTGGCTGAGATTCGATGTGTGTTGTAACTATGTAATGAAATCACAACATCATTTAGCAACAAATCAACCCTCCTTTAGCGACTTCCCCTGAAGATGAGTTGGGTCATCATGGAGCGAAGGGGTTCGAGTCTCACCGAGGAACGACGGTCTCCTGCTGGGATCCTGATGCCAGCACTCGGTCATGAGCTTCACCATATCTTCCAGCCCTTTAACCCTGCGAGAATTTGTTGGGCAACTATTAGCAACTTTCGGTAAGTGACTAAAACGATAAAAAGGCATACATTTTCCGTCTAAATTACACAAAAAGAGGAAACCAAAGACGCCTAGCTGTACACACATCATTAATGATGATAACAATAATAATTGAATAAATTAATAGTTGAATAATTGTATTATAAATAGCTGAATGATATTTTAGTGGGTGTCTTCTGTAAATCAGGGGAAAATGTATGAAATAAATTTTTTGCTCAGAAAAACAAAAACAAAAATACAATTACATGAAACAGAAAACTTTTTCATTTTTTGTTGTTGTTGAAAAACAATTTAAAGCAGTATTGTTTTTATGCTTAAACCATAGTGGCAAATTAAAAAAATGTAAAATTACAACCAATTAGTATTTGGGGTGAAAGTAATTAGTTTTTTAACTAATTTTGTCATAAATTGATTTTTGTTGTAAATATGCCTGGCAGGATTGTTACACTGAATGATATTTTAGTGGGTGTCTTCTGTAAATCAGGGGAAAATGTATGAAATAAATTTTTTGCTCAGAAAAACAAAAACAAAAATACAATTACATGAAACAGAAAACTTTTTCATTTTTTGTTGTTGTTGAAAAACAATTTAAAGCAGTATTGTTTTTATGCTTAAACCCTTTTTCGTCTTTGACCCATTATCTACAAAATATATTTTTGGCTGAGATTCGATGTGTGTTGTAACTATGTAATGAAATCACAACATCATTTAGCAACAAATCAACCCTCCTTTAGCGACTTCCCCTGAAGATGAGTTGGGTCATCATGGAGCGAAGGGGTTCGAGTCTCACCGAGGAACGACGGTCTCCTGCTGGGATCCTGATGCCAGCACTCGGTCATGAGCTTCACCATATCTTCCAGCCCTTTAACCCTGCGGGGGTCTATGGAGGACAGGTCCGGTCTGTCCCCCTGAGGGATCCGGAAGCGCACCAGACTGGACAGAGCGTCTGCGGGACAGACACGAGTGAGACACTGCTGCGGACGCCAGCCAGAGAGCGCTGAGGGACGCTTACCTTCATACGGCTCCTTCCCGGTGACGATGGACCACAGCAGAACGCCGTAACTGCAGAGCAGAGCGTTCACACTTTATGACACATTACACTTTCATTTACATCTCATGCACGATTAGATATGAAGGAGCACATCAATCCCAACCCTCATATGTCATAAGGGTCTCTGCTATTTATTAGTATTCTATGCTTTTAGTATATAATATAACATATGTGACCCTGGAGCACAAAACCAGTCATAAGAGTCAGTTTTTTTAAATTGAGATTTCTACATCCTCTGAAAGCTGAATAAATAAGCTTTCCATTGATGTATGATTTGTTAGGAGAGGACAATATTTGAAAATCTGGAATCTGAGCGTGCAAAAAAATCTAAATATTGAGAAAATCATCTTTAAAGTTGATCAAATGAAGTTCTTAGCAATGCATATCACTAATCAAAAATGAAGTTTTGATATATTTACGGTAGGAAATGTACTAAATATCTTCAAGGAACATGATCTTTACTTAATATCCTAATGATTTTTGGCATAAAAGAGAAATGTATAATTGTGACCCATACAATGTATTGTTGGCTATTGCTACAAATATCCCCCAGCGACTCAACACTGCTTTTGTGCTGCAGGGTCAGTTTTGACCCGGGAGCAGTACATAAAAATAAAATGCATTAACCTTTGCATAAGGATTAAGACTGTCTGCAGGAGACTATTGTTGCTTAGATTCAATGACAAATATGTCGTATTGTGCTGTGCATTTCAGCTTTGATTGTTTTTGTTTGGATTGTTTGCATTCGTGAACTTACTTCATCCATGCGTGCCATTTGGATAAATATTCTGTGTTTTACATTGGAAATATGTTAAAACTGTGTACCGGCTCTTTAAGAATCGCGACTGTGAAGTCTGGCGTTCTTTGGAATGCAGCGGAGTCACAGTTTTCTTGACCGCATCCGTGATATTTAAGATGTAAGAATATATTTTGTTTCTTTCATTTTATTTGTTTCATTTATCTGTTTTGACCCGGGAGCAGTACAGAAAAATAAAATGCATTAACCTTTGCATAAGGATTAAGACTGTCTGCAGGAGACTATTGTTGCTTAGATTCAATGACAAATATGTCGTATTGTGCTGTGCATTTCAGCTTTGATTGTTTTTGTTTGGATTGTTTGCATTCGTGAACTTACTTCATCCATGCGTGCCATTTGGATAAATATTCTGTGTTTTACATTGGAAATATGTTAAAACTGTGTACCGGCTCTTTAAGAATCGCGACTGTGAAGTCTGGCGTTCTTTGGAATGCAGCGGAGTCACAGTTTTCTTGACCGCATCCGTGATATTTAAGATGTAAGCATATATTTTGTTTCTTTCATTTTATTTGTTTCATTTATCTCTGAGACAATATTAATGCAATATATCGGAGCAGAGTACGTGGATTGCTGTATTGGACACAGAGCGAGAAAATCTGAAATGTAAGTCGTTTATTTTATTTTATTTATTTATTTTCCAGATTTTGTAAAATAACATTTTAAGAGACATAACCATTTAACCTAAATTGTAACACCTTTTGCATTCAGGCAAGTTAAAAACAAAATACATGAAAAAAACATTGCACATGGATTAAGATTATCAAAATCCGTGATATTTAAGATGTAAGAATATATTTTGTTTCTTTCATTTTATTTGTTTCATTTATCTCTGAGACAAGATTAATGCAATATATCGGAGCAGAGTACGTGGATTGCTGTATTGGACACAGAGCGAGAAAATCTGAAATGTAAGTCGTTTATTTTATTTTATTTATTTATTTTCCAGATTTTGTAAAATAACATTTTAAGAGACATAACCATTTAACCTAAATTGTAACACCTTTTGCATTCAGGCAAGTTAAAAACAAAATACATGAAAAAAACATTGCACATGGATTAAGATTATCAAAATACACATTGCGTTTTTTTTTTTTTCCAGATTTGTTTCAAATACATTTTTAAGCGATTTTTTACACTTTCAGGTCATTTTTTTATTTTAAAGAAATGTATACTTTTATCAATCAAGGACGCATTAAATTGATCAAAAGTGACAGTAAAGACATTTATAATGTTACAAAAGATTTCTATTTCAAATAAATGAACAGCATTTATTTGAAACAGAAATCTTTTAGATGAACAGAACAACTTTCTATTCATCTGTGAATCCTGAAAAATAAAATGCATCACAGTTTCCACAAAAATATTGTGCAGCACAACTGTGTTCAACATTGATAATAATCAGAAATGTTTGTTGAGCAGCAGATCAGCATATTATACTGATTTCTGAAGATCATGTGACACTGAAGACTGGAGGAATGATGCTGAAAATACAGCTGCACATCACAGAAATACATTACAGTTTAACAGAGATTCACACAGAAAACAGCTGTTTTACATTGAAAAAATATTTTAAAATTTTACTGTATTTTTAATCAAATAATTTCAGCCTTGGCGAGGTTAAAAACATTAAAAGCCCTGCTGCAGTATCTGCAATGTTTCTGTGGTTACCTGTAGACGTCAGTGGCTTTGCTGGCTTTGTAGTTGACAGACTGCAGCGCTTCAGGAGGCATGTAGCTCAGTGTCCCTCCATCATCCTCGTCTTTCTCTCTGGAGCATCTAGAAACGCTTCGAGCCACTCGCGACAGACCGAAATCTGTCAGCTGCAGGAAAAACAAAGCAAGGGTTCATTAAAGTCAAAATGCATTATGCCTGTTTCACACTCAAAGGGCACTGACAATCGTGCTTATTAATTATCAAGCGGTAAGCTGATATGGACACAGATTTTAATATTACATTGGTTGGCCATCAACAGTAACATCCTGAATTTAATGACAGATGTGTTTTTAGCAATGCAACAAGATTTTTTGGGGTGAACTGTCCCTTTAAGAGCTCAGTCCTGCTTTAAGAATCTATTAATAATCGACTGGAGCCTTCATGTAAATGTGTGAATTAAATAATTTGACCTGAATTACATTAAAAAGAGTGGCGTAGAGCTGAAAGAATTCATTTTACAGGAACATTTGATCCGTACGAAGCACTACCGCACATGAACTTCATCTCCACAGATGATTTTAGCATTTAATTTGAGAAAAACATCAGCAGATACACTCAGAAAGGATTACCAGAGTTTCAGTTTGAAGAAATTATGACAGAAATCATACTATTTTACAGTAGAATGCACTTCTCAAAGTAGTAGTCGTAATAATAATACGTTTATTAAAAATGTTTTTAAAGGAATTTCACATTTTGTTTCTGTTATTTGCTTTAATTTACACCGTAAACCTCTGTTGTGCAGCGATTGTTACCAATTGTTCAAATTTAATTACAAATAAGAGGATTAATTAAATGGTTCATAACCAAATTAATGTTTTTGATATTAAATCATAAAGCAGAATCCATAAGAATTAAAACTGACAACTCAGCAAGAAAATAAAATAAATAAACATTCCATAGCAAAGTACGATTGTAAATAAATATATATAATAATAATAAATTAAATATTAAATTGTTATGGTTTTATTAATTTAATTGATGAGACATCTTTTTTTACGATTATTAAAAATAAATTAAACCATTAAAACACAATAAAAGTAAAAAAAAAATATATATATAATAATAATAAAAATAAAGGAAAAAGGAAATCAGAATTTGGGGAAAATAACATGGAATTTGAGAAAGAAAAAAAATAAATAAGTAAACCACTATTTTTTATTTTGAAAACGAAATTAAACGATTAAAACAGAATCCAGAACAAATAAAAAGGACAACAGAATGTCGGGGGAAAATGAAACTGAATTTGAGAAAATAAAATGTTTCATAGGGCACTATTATTATTAACAATGTAATAAACTATTAAATGTGACCCTGCAGCACAAAAGCAGTGTTAAGTCGCTGGGGGATATTTGTAGCAATAGCCAACAATACATTGTATGAGTCACAATTATACATTTCTCTTTTATGCCAAAAATCATTAGGATATTAAGTAGAGATCATGTTCCATGAAGATATTTAGTAAATCTCCTACCGTAAATATATCAAAACTTAATGTTTGATTAGTGATATGCATTGCTAAGAACTTCATTTGAACAACTTTAAAGATGATTTTCTCAATATTTAGATTTTTTTGCACCCTCAGATTCCAGATTTTCAAATATTGTGCGATCCTAACAAACCATACATCAATGGAGAGATTATTTATTCAGATTTCAGATGATGCATAAATCTCAATTTCAGAAAAATTGACCCTTATGACTGGTTTTGTGCTCCAGGGTCACATATTGATACGTTTTATGAATTCACCTGATTAGACATCCTTTTTTGCTTATTAAAACACAATTAAACCGTTAAGACAGAATCCAGAAGATGAAAGTGAAAAGCACAGAATCTGGGGGAACTGGCCTTGGCTCTGAGGCTGTCGTCCAGCAGCACGTTGCTGGGCTTGAGGTCCAGATGCAGGAGCGGAGGAGTCAGATGATGGAGGAAGTTCATGCCCAGGCTGATCTGGTGCGTCATGCGGAAGGTCAGAGGCCACGGCGGCGGCCCGGCCAGCGTCTGCAGCAGATCCGCCACCGAACCCTTGGGCATGAACTCCATCACCAGCCCTCGGCCCTCGCCCACACGGCCCTCGTACAGACCCAAGATCCGGATCACGTTAGGATTCCCGCCCTGGAACATCAGGAGAGCTTCCCTCTGGATGGAGGACGCCGGTCTGATTCATGAGCAGGAGAAACAAACAAACCAGCCAGTGCTGATGATGCTCAAACAAACACATCCATGCACTCACAGCACCACGCCGTTTACAGCTTTAATATACATTTTACATTTGTTAATTACACATACATATATATATATTATTACAGTGCTCTTTCTTAACGTAAATACAGTAATGGAAATATATGCACACACACACACACATAAGTCTACCATGGTAAACCAGTGTCTGCCCAAATACTGCTTTGACTACACTGAAACGGTAGGGATGACCAACAGCGGACTGGATGGGGTAAGTTGTCACAATAGAAAACTGCTATTCAATGACGATGACTAGAGAACAATTTCTATACAGTGAAAAAAACTGGTGTAGGATTTACTTTGAAACTATGTGTTTTCTAACTGCTTGTTTTCTTTAAAAAAAAAGCCTCTAACACTAGCTTTCTCTATTATTTTTCTATTCTATCTACTTGTTTTTGGTATGAGTTCATATATATATATAAAGTGCTGTAAAACGATTAATCGCATCCAAAATAATAGTTTTTGTTTACATAATATATGTGTGTGTGTACTGTGTATATTTATTATGTATATATAAATACAAAGTATACAAAATATTTCCATGTATATATTTATATTCATATAATTTATATTATATATATATTTAATATATAAACATAACATATTTTTCTTACATATATACATGCATGTGTGTGGTTATATATATATATATATACATAATAAATACGCACAGTACCCCCCCCCCCTTACTTTTTTACAGTGAGTGTACTTGTTATGCCAGTCACTATAGTGTGCTATGGACAACACAGTAAAATACCAAGAGTGGAAATAAAACACAAACAAACACCAAGCGACTGTTTTTGACAACATGAACTGCTAAAGTTAAATGTCTAAATGTGTCTCTTTTCATTGAAAGTCTCCCTTCATTACACAGTGATGCTTGCAGTGGTTTCACTGTGTTCACGTGATACAGACAACTTCCCAGTGTGCCAACTTGCCCCGACCTCCCCATTAAACACAATAATCAAAATGAAAGAATGATCGCATACTATTTGAAGGCCACGTTAATGCATTGCACGATGTTACGGTTGGACTGGGCTGTATAGACTGTGCTTATCAAGGTAAACATTTAAGGACAATGTCCACGTGCTGTAATTACCCGTCTTTATAGTGTAATAACTTTATGGCCACGTCCATGCCCAAGGTCTTGTGCTTCGCTCGGTAGATCTGGCCGAATCCGCCGGTTCCGATGCTCCTCCAGCCCTGCAGACATTCATCACGGATCACCTCGAACCTGATGCACACAGAGTCGTCCATCTCCGCCCCGAGCGTCTGATCTACTCAGCTACTCAACCGGAGAATGCTTAAATAGTTCATATTCCGTCTGAGTGCGTCCGTTCCTCTGAGTTCCTCGTTAATGGCGACGCTTCCACATCGAGAAGCTGGTTTCACTTCCCCATCAAACAAGCAAGAAGAAGAAAACACCACTGCACACATGCTTTCCTTCTGAAATCACACCAATAATCTCATGTCAATACATCTGATAGATTATTGAAACACTAAGAAAAACATGTTCCAAGAACGTTTCCATTAGGTTGGCCTATTAAACGCTACACTCTAAAAAATGCTGGGTTGTTTCAACCCAACTTTGGGTCAGATATGGACTAATTAAATTTTTACATTACATATTTGACCCAAAAGTTGGGTTAGTCCATATTTGACCAAAATGTGGGTTAGTCCATATTTGACCCAAAAGTTGGGTTAGTCCATATTTGACCCAAAGTTGGGTTGAAACAACCCAGCATTTTTTAGAGTGTGCTTTTGAATGAGCGTTCCAAACGTGTGTTCTTGGTTATCAGAGAAAACGTTAAGAGAAAGTTCCATTTTATCATTTCTAACATTATGCGGATGTCACTGGAACATTTTCTGAAGCATCTGAAAGCAAGTAAAGAAACGTTTCCGCGAACAATGGATAAATAATGTTTATAGCGTTCCTATTATTGAGACATTAAATGTTATTTCTGAATGCTCGCTGAAAGTCAAATCATTAAATGTTTAAAACACGTGTTCTTGGTTAAATGTTAGAGAAAACAATGTTGCTTTCGAACCACTTGAAGCTAATTATAAGACAAGCGGGAATCTAACATGTTTCCAATAATGTTCCACAAATAATAGGTGTCTTCTAACGCTTGAGAAAGGCATTAAAGACCAGATAACTTCGAGTAAACAATCCATTACTGGAAGGATGTGGAGAGTTCTGGTTTTTATAAGAAGCCCCTTCGTCGCGCATACTTTTTAATTTCTTTGTTAAATTAAAAATAGGAAAAGTTACAGTGTTTCACTGATATGCTTGTAATGTTGCATATTCATCCTAAAATAAGTCGACATGTTCTTCGATACAATCATAAATGCATAGGCTATATGTTTAAAAAAGATAAAACGATAACACATTGTCCGCATTCTGTGTAAGAAAGAAGAATGTAAACAATAGAACTATTGCATTAATGAAAATATCTGTTTGCTGTTGACTTTAAACGGATGTGGCTTATACGTCAGTGGAAACTCCCACACGATGCGACTGCATCTGACTAAAGCCATAATAAAGTCTGCGTTCCTGTGTGCGTCGCTCATTTTCATGCATCGTGTTTTATTACGTGTTTTAACTCGTTTCCGATCAAAGGTCGGCAGATGAATGTGAGCACGCATTAAATAAAGCGCTCCAGCAGATGCGCCTTGCTTGCGTTCGTTACGGTAGAAGAAGATCGACGCGAAGTTTCCCTTTGGTTTCATTTTATCAGTGCAAAATGCGGACCAGCGAGTCTCGCGAAACCACGGGTGATTTCTAAACCAAAAGAAGCCGTTTATAGCCGAGCGGGACTAAATTAGAGTGAATCCGGAGTGTCGCAGAAGCGCGTTCCGACTCGCGCTCGATCCGGATCGTTTCTCGCGATCGCTTCGTAAACAGACGAAAGAGCGCAGTTTAAAGTCCACGCGATTATGGTAAGAACGCACGTTTACTGTGCAACACATTTCTGGTTTGTTCTTGTGTTTTTGATGAGACAGAGAAATCGGTTTCGCCTGCTGAACAAAGGAGATCTGTTTTAGTCACATGCGGAACATTATGGAACCAGTCCGTTTTTAATCGTACGCGATTAAATATGTTCTTAATGTTCCCATTAAGTTTGAAAATGTTTTTGTTTAGGACGGAATGAAAGCGTGTTACTTTGTTGTTTGAACTTCCGCAGAAAGTGGAATGTTCAATGTTACAGTTCTCCAAACATTACGGGAACATTACTTTCGAATGTTCAATAAACCGCGTGAAACTAGTAACGTTTCACAAACATTAGACGTGCAACTAAACATTCTTTGAGCTAACACTGTGAGAACGCCATTAAAGACTAGATAGCTTTGAAGGGATGCTCTATTAACGTTACTGTTCATAACGATCTGAGATGATTACTGTTTTAAACATTTGTATACCAAACACCTTTTCTTTGTTACATTCGTTTGTCAGATCTGTAACACTTTATTTTAAGGTGTCCTTGATGCACGCTACATCCCACATGAAAAAATACTGTAGTAATGTATAGTAAATAGTGTTTTTGAAGTGTATTATACTGTAGTATTTACAACACTTTGTTAATGAATGCTATGGCATAGGCTGCTATAGTAGTAACTGTAATAAACACTGTAATATACTTTAGTTTTTACTACAGTAAACTATGTTATTGTAGTGTAATAAACCATATAGTTGTAGAAAACTTAAAAAAAAAGTAATTAGTTAATATTACTCTAGTTGTAATATTACTACAGCAACTACAGAATTACCACAACAAGTACTTTACTATAGTATGGTTCAAAAACACTATAGTGTTTACTATAAATTACTATAGTATTTCTTGCATGTGGGATGTACTTACTATTATGATATCAACAAATTCTGCATAATTACATGCAAGTACTCCTAAGACAAATCCTAACCATATAGTAAGTACTTGTAGTTAATTAATATCACTCGGTATTTAAATGTATAATTACACTGTAGCAAGGACACCTTAAAATAAAGAGTAACCCTTAAATCTCTTTTTGAGAAACGAAAACATTATGGAACTAGATCATCTTTAACGGTTTGAGCCGATTTTAATTGCGTAACACGAATAATACATGAATAAATATGTTCGGAGAACATTTTGCTAACGTTCCCATTACGTTCTAAAAGGGTTTTTTTTCTTCTGAACGTTATCTCAGAACATGCAGTGTTTTAACGGTTTTCTTGGTTGTTTGAACGTTTGTGAAAATGGAATGTTCAACTTTCATGAAGCGTTACGGGAACATTACTTTTGAATGTCCTCCAAACCACCTGAAACTTTCTAGTAGTAACGTTTAAAAACAAACAAACAAAAAACATTAGACCTGCAACTAAAAAAACATTCCATGAACGATGTAGGATATTTTTGAGCTAAAATTTTGAGAGCGTTATTAAAAACCACTTAACTTATTGTATACGTAATTGTTCCTGTTTTAGACATTTGTGTACACAGGGTTTTAAAACACCTTTTCTTTGTTACATTCACTTCTCAAATCTCTTTTTTATGGAACCAGTTAATCTAAAATCTGTCATAATATGAATAATGAATGAATAGAATGAATTTGCGAGTGGCATTAAACCTTTTGAAAGGCACTCAGAGTTTTGTTTAAAGCCTTCCCCTGTTGAAAAAAAAAGCATATGCTGGTTAGGTATGTTTTGATGCTGGTTTGAGCTGGTTTAAGCTGGTCCTTAGCTGGTTTAAGCTGGTTGGACCAGCACATGACCAGCTAAGGACCATCATAAACCAGCAAAGGAGCAGCTTAAACCAGCAAAGGACCATCATAAACCAGCAAAGGACCAGCTTAAACCAGCAAAGGACCATCATAAACCAGCAAAGAACCATCATAAACCAGCAAAGGACCCTCATAAACCAGCAAAGAACCAGCTTAAACCAGCAAAGGACCATCGTAAACCAGCAAAGGACCAGCATAAACCAGCAAAGGACCAGCTTAAACCAGCAAAGGACCATCGTAAACCAGCAAAGGACCAGCATAAACCAGCAAAAGGACCAGATTAAACCAGCAAAGGACCAGCATAAACCAGCAAAGGACCAGCTTAAACCAGCAAAGGACCATCATAAACCAGCAAAGGACCATCTTAAACCAGCAAAGGACCATCATAAACCAGCAAAGGACCATCATAAACCAGCAAAGGACCAGCATAAACCAGCAAAGGACCAGTTTAAACCAGCATCCCAGCTTCAAAACATACCTAACCATCATATGCTGTTTTTTTCAACAGGGTTGGTAGCAAATAAACTACAAACAGAGGTTTGTATTCCAGATTAAATTCCATCTTGGCTCAGGATAGTTCTTACAATGCTAACTCATGTTGTCTCCTGCAGTGAGGTGCGTCATGGCTCTCTCAGGTCTCACACTGGATGGCTGTGGATCCCAGCGGATGGAGCAGCAGGAGGTTGAGGACGAGTTCACCTGTGCAGGTGTGTTGAGGGGGGCGTTGCTGGTGCTGCAGCCCACCGTCGAGCGAGTCTTTGGGGTGAAGCTGAGTATCGGAGGAGAGGATGGTCCATCTGCGCAGAGCGGTCCGATTTGGCTGCAGCTACAGGGTACTGCAGGAGACGTGCAGGCAGCAAAGGTGCTTTACACACTTAAGACTTTCACTTTCTGTGTACCTAGAGTGAAACAACAACAACATTTATTTACAAAGTCCTGTATGATGTGGAAAAACAAGCCTACACTGTAAAGCAACATCTAACTGCATCACTTTGCATGGCTGTAAAACTGCACGTGCAATGAAAACACACGCTAGTTTTAGTTTATTTCCTCTCATCACAGATACATCTATTGGCTTATGGATTCAAAGGCCACAATTACAATATAAATGTTTCCTATTAGAATTGTTGAGGGTTTACTCACCTTATATATTATGCAACTCGTAGCTTTTTGTGAAAGGTGTCGTCAATCAGGAAGCCCAGCAAGAGATCCAGTTCCCTGAAGTGCTGCACTGTGTCTTCTGTGGTGCTAAAGGGCTGTTTATGGATTGCCTGATTAAAAATACCTCTGCTCATGTAGTGGTGAGTTAAGTCTTTTTTAAATGTCATTTGTGCTAATGCAGTATTTTATAGTACAGGAGCAGGTGTACTATATGATGCTGTACTACAACCTTTGTTACAGATTACATAGCTGAATGTTTTTATGTTTTATATGCATACAGTTCTTTGCCCGGTGCACAACACTAAAACATTACAGCCAAATGCGATTTTTCTCAGTAAGAAAATACAACATGTAGGGCAGGAATTAATTTTTTTAAACATTTCCACTGCTATCTAACTTGCACAAATATCTGAAGATGGTGCGTGCATGAACAAGCTTGATTTTCCACCCCGCCTCCCTGCAGCAACGCCTTTTTTACGATGCATGACATAATGTCCATATACATATTTCCATACAGGCATGATTCTTCCACCTTTGTTAGTAGAAACTAGGAAAACAGAAGGGAGACAGACTGTCATACACACTATTG